CTGCTGCCCCTGCTGTCCCTGCAGCTCCTGCAGCTTCTGGAGTTCTGCAGCTCCTGCAGTTCCTGCTGCCCCCTCTGCCCCTGCAGCCCCTGCTGCCCCTGCAGCTTCTGGAGCCCCTGTGGCTCCTGCAGTTCCTGCTGCCCCCTCTGCTCCTGCAGCCCCTGCTGCCCCTGCAGCTTCTGGAGTTCTGCAGCTCCTGCTGCCCCCTCTGCCCCTGCAGCTTCTGGAGCCCCTGTGGCTCCTGCTGCCCCCTCTGCCCCCTCTGTCCCCTGCAGCCCCTGCTGTCCCTGCAGTTTCCACAGTCCCAGGATGTTTCACTTGGAAGGGAGGGGAAGGTTGGAACTGGCACCTCCCGCTGTCCCAGGGTGCTCCCAGCTGGGTTTGGGCACTTCCAGGGATTTGTGGCTGCTCTGGGCAGGCGGTGCCACCTGTGCCAGGGCCTGCCCCACCCTCACAGGGAGCAATTCCTGCCCGATATCCCACCCAAATCTCCCCTTTTCTGCTACAAAGCTGTTCCCTGGGTCCTGTCCCAGCTCTCCTGGAGCCCCTTCAGGCCCTGCAAGGGGCTCTGAGCTCTCCCTGGATCCTTCCCTTCTCCAGGGGAACATTCCCAGCTCTCCCTGGATCCTTCCCTTCTCCAGGGGAACATTCCCAGCTCTCCCTGGATCCTTCCCTTCTCCAGGGGAACATTCCCAGCTCTCCCAGCCCAGCTCCAGCGGGGCTCCAGCCCTGGGGCAGCTCCAGGTCCCCCTGGTGCTGGGGGAGCGCTCTGATCCTGGCATGGCTCGTGTGCCACCGCCCCATCCCTCGGGTCAGCTGCATCCAGATCAGGGGATTGCACTTTCAGGGATGCAGAATTCCCTAAAAGCCGCTCATTTGGAGCCTGGCTGCAATTCCTGTGCCGTGCCTTAATGGGAAAGCAGCCTTCACCCTCCTCCTCCTCCTCTCCATCACCACCAGAGCCTCCCATGGGCAGGGGTCCCGGGGAATTCGGTGGGTTTTCCCATTTTTAGGGATTTAGAGGGTGGATTTGTGATTCCAGGTGCAAACCAGCAGCGTTCAGGATTGTCCTGGCAGGATTTGGGATCTTTCCTGCGGGCAGGGCAGGTTCCCACAGCCTCTCTGAGCTCTTGGGCTCCGCTGGGGGATTTGGGCTGGGAAAAACAAAGCAGTGAGACAAAACTATTGGTAATGCAATCCAGTTCCGTTCCTTTTCCTGCGTGGATTGTCAGAGATTCCAGGGAAATGTTCATTCCTGGGTGTGGAGCTGGGCACCCAGGGCTGTGGGCTGGCTGCAGGGACAGACAGACAGACAGACAGACCTGCTGCAGAGGGTTCAGGGCATTCCCAGCCGTGTTTGGCCAGAGAAATCACAGGAAGGACAAGAAGGGGCAGGGCTTGGATGGGAGGGAGGGATGGAGGGAGATTTTAAAGCTGGAGAGAGCCCGGAAAGGGTTTAAGGGTTTGAGTGAAGAGTGCAGGAGAAGGTTCTGGGTTTATTTTTCTGGTTTGAGACTCGTGCTAACTTGCTTTGTTTCCCTGTCTCTGTTTTGGCCGTGCCCTGCCCTGTGCCCTGGCATCTCCTGAAGAGCGAGACTCGAGTGCAGTAAGTCCCACTCCTTCCTTTTGCTCCCCCTTTTCTGCAGGTTTTTATTTACCCCTTAAAAACCCACCTGGTGCCTGGGAGGAGCTGCAGGGCCGCCTTTGGCACGGCTCTCACTAAAGCATAAACCAGGCAGTAAAATCCCTCATCCTGCCTGGAGGATGTGCTGGGACGAGCGGAGTCACCTTCCCCGTGCTGCTGGCGGGTTGGGAATGTGATTTAAACCTCTCTGCCCGTGGCAGGGGGTTGGGAAATGCCATCTTTTGGGCTGAGTGAGCGGGGTCAGACCCTCCTTGGGGGCTCAGGGTCGTTCCCAGTCGCTCTCTGTTTATCTAGGGTGGGTACTGAGCAGGACTTGGAAGCTCAAGCTGTTCCCAGGTAGGGAAATCCCTGGATTTTGGAGAGCTCCTTGGGATGGGTTCCCTGGGAGCAGCCATGGAGAGGATGCTGAGGGTGGCAGGAGCTCATGGAACAACGGGGCCGAGCCCCGTGTGCAGGGAAAACGGGACAGGGGCAGGAATTTCCGCAGGGAAAGGGCTGTGGAACACGGGCAGGGGAGGCCTGGACGCGTCCCTGAGCTCCCCGTGGCACGGCGGGACCGGCCCAGCGTCCCGGAGCTCTCTCCCGAGCCCGGCCTTCCGTGTGAAAAGCTGCCAGGACAAAACCCGGCCGAGCTGCGGCTTTGGCAGCGATTTCCTGCCAGCTCCGAGCCCACAAACGGCCCTTTGGAGAGCGGGGAAGGGAAGTGCTGGGCCGGGGGGGAGAGGCAGAGGGGAATTGGGCATCATTAACCCGCTCCTCCGGCGGGCAGGGGGCCGTCGGAGCCGGGCAGCTTCCCAATCCATAAACTGCGAGCCGGGCTATTCCCCGTGGAGGTTTAATGTGTGCGATAATCAGCGTTAGTCATTCATATTTTCCCCAGCCTTTGCCTGTGCAATAAAAAATATTTAGTTCCTTGGCGGCGGGCCAGGAGCGGGGCTGAATGGATCGATGCCTCTAAATGCCTGACATGATTCTCTGGGAGCTGCAAGGGTTTTCAGCATGACTGCCTGGGAAGAAAGAGCTCCGTGTTATCCAAAGCTGCTTAGTGGGGACCGAGGAGAAACATGAACTGCTTTGCTTCTCCCTTTCAGCCGGGGAAGAGAGGCGGGCACGGCTGGGGAGCGGCGCTGGGGAGCGGGGAGAGACCCCGCTGCTCGCGGGGATGGAGGGAATGTGCGGGCTGGGATGCGGGAGCGGCGCCAGGCGTCCTCCTCGCCCTGCTGCCGGCGTTTCCCGGGAATGCCGCGTCTCCCGGGCTTTGCCGCTCGGAGCCAGGGCAGAATTCCCCCCGGTGGATCCCACGGCGCTGCCGGTCCTGCTCACGTGGGATCTCCAGGAGGTTTTGGGGATGTCCTTCTGCTCCAGGGCTGGGATGGGGCTGTTGTTGGCTCCTCCTGGATGAGGCTCCCAGCTCTGCCAGGGGGAGAGCTGCTGGGCTCTGGAGCTTTCCTGGGAATGCCAGCACGGCCTGGGCTTGGCTGCTGGGAGCAGGGACAGAATTCCCGATGAGCCGTGCCACTCCTGGCCACGTGGGTTTTCTTCCCAGATGTTTTCATAAACAACCTCCTGCCAAAAACATTTTCCTGCAGCCAAGGCACTCGGGTGTCCATGGGCATCCTGACAGCATTCCCAGCTCAGGTGTCCATGGGCATCCTCACGGCATTCCAAGCTCAGCTCAGGTGTCCATGGGCATCCTGATGGCATTCCCAGCTCAGGTGTCCATGGACATCCTCACGGCATTCCCAGCGGGGTGATGCTGGATCAGCCCTGGATCCCACTGCTCATGGAGCTCCGTCTCCTCCTGCCACCCCCTCCAAAGCTTCTCCCACCTCCGCAGAACAATTCCGTGTCCCCCTCGGAGAGCCTGCGGGCCAGCGAGAAGCACCGGAGCTCCACGGATTACAGCATCGACTCCAAGAAGCGGAAAGCGGAGGAGAAGGACAGCATGAGCCGATATGTGAGTGACAGCCACGGGGACACCTGGGGACAGCATCTGGGGACAGGGGGCAGGGCTCGGGTGATGTTCTCCAGGTGTGGTGTGGGTGAGCTGGGGCTGGAATCTGTGGAGTTTTTATTTTATATTTGTATTATTGTTATATATTTATATTTCTATTATTTATATTTATATATATTTAATATATTTTTTATATTTTTATATATTTATATATTTTATTATATTTTATTCTATTTTTACATATTTTATATAATTCTATATATTTATATATTTTATATATTAAATATTTTTTATATTTATTTATATATATTTCTATTTTTTCATTTTTATATATTTACTTAGATTTTATATTATTTGTATATTTAATATACTCTTTTAATATGTATAATATGTATTCTTTTAAAATGCATATATTCTTTTACTATATATAATATAATTAATTCATACATATTCTTTTAATATGTACATACTTTTAATAAGTATAATATAATTGATATATTATTTATATAGTTGAAGTATTCATATTATATATAGTATAAAATACCTTTTACTATATATAATATATATAAATATTATATATAGTATAATATAAATAATAATTATAAATATAATATTATAAATAGTAATATATACTGTATTTAATATAATAATATACTATATTTGCTATAATAATATAAATACATGCTATATATGCTATAATAATAGAAATATACATACTATATATATAGTATAATAATAGAAATATATAGTGATTTTATTGCGTAGTAGTATCATTATATAATAATTGTATTTTTATGTATATATGTATACAGATATGAATATAGATATTATAATTATATGATAATACTTCAGGCTGGAAAAGGCCTTGGGACCGTTGGGTCCCACCATTCCCCAGCGCTGCCAAGGCCACCCTAATCCATGTCCCCAAATGTCCCCAAGTGCCACATCCCTGCCCTGACCGGCTGCACCCCTGCCCTGGGCAGCCCCTTCCAGCTCCTGATGGCCTTTTCCATGGAGAGGCTTCCCCAGATCTCCATTCCCTTTTCCATGGAGAGGCTTTCCCAGATCTCCATTCCCTTTTCCATGGAGAGGCTTCCCCAGATCTCCATTCCCTTTTCCATGGAGAGGCTTCTCCAGATCTCCATTCCCACCTTTTCCACGGAGAGGCTTTCCCAGCTCTCCCGTTTGGGGGAGGTTTGGCTCCCCGGGGGGCTGATCCCCCCAGTTTGTGAGCTCTCTGCGGGCTGTGACACGGTTTGTGTTGCAGGACAGCGACGGTGACAAGAGCGATGACCTGGTGGTGGACGTCTCCAATGAGGTGAGGAGCGGCTGGCTCTGCCCCTGGCACGCTGTGGCTCGGGGGTTTGGGAAGCGATTCCTTCGGCGCCGGCCGGAGGGAGCCCTTCCTTCCTTCCTTCCTGCCCTGGGAATTCCAAGGCTTTTCCCATCTCACAGGACCCCGCCACGCCCCGGGTGAGCCCGGCCCATTCCCCCCCGGAGAACGGCCTGGACAAAGCGCGCGGGCTGAAGAAGGGCGACGCTCCCAACAGCCCGGCCTCGGTGGCCTCCTCCAGCAGCACTCCCTCCTCCAAGACCAAGGACCTGGGCCACGTACGTCCCTCCCGCAGGGTCCCCGCGGCGCCGCCCGTGGATCCCGGCAGCTGCAGCTCATCCCTCCTTTTCCGTCCCTTCTCCCCCCAGAACGACAAATCCTCCACGCCCGGCCTCAAGTCCAACACTCCGACGCCCAGGAACGACGCTCCCACCCCGGGCACCAGCAGTACCCCGGGGCTGCGGCCCATGCCCGGCAAACCCAGCGGCATGGACCCCCTGGGTGGGTACCGGGGTCACCCCAGCCCTGGGGGATTGTCCTCCGGGGGTGAGGTTTATGGGGACTCCATCCAGCTGGTGGGGTGAGGAGGGAGGTACAGTCAGCAGGGTTGGGATGAGGGGACGCGGCCTCAAGCTGTGCCAGAGGAAGTTCAGGTTGGACATCAGCGGGAAGTTCTTCATGGAAAGGGAGGTTGGG